ATACGGCTGCTACTGATCCGGCATCTCCGCTAGGAACGTTTCCAAGTCCCTAACCACACTGTCGAATGATGGCCTTGCTTCGGGATCCTGATTCCAGCACCTTACCATGAGTTGCCAGCATTGTTCTGGAAACACGTCCAACCTCTCTGGTGTCTTGTTGTCAACGGCATTCATCATGAGCATAACCAGAGGTAGAAAGTGGCGGTTTATATTCTGTGGTTGGTTGCCCTGACCTTCGCACACTCGCCAGAGCAACATGCCGAACGCGTACACATCAATGGATTTGTCGTACTGTTGTTTCAACATTTCGGGCGCCATGTTGATAGGAGTACCAACCAACGAGTTACAGATGAGACCCTCGGGTTTACAGAGACCCAGATCAGTTAACTTTGCGTTGTTTTTCTCGTCCAACTAAAAGGAGAAAAAAGGAAAAATTTGAATTTGCTTGTCCAAAAATGTAATGTACTAGCTATATGCTGTATAAATTAAGAATTATTATTAATTATTAATATTATCATTACTATTATTATTATTATTATTATTATTATTATTATTATTATTTCTAAGTCCCCTTTTGGTTCAATAATCAGCTCCTCTTATGGAACTCTTCATAAGCACAGCCTTACATAGCTTACACCCACCACAGCCCCATTTATTTCACAATCAACGATAACAGGTAGCGTGACAGTACTCACCAAGACGTTCTGCATTTTAACATCGCGATGGATCAGCTCCTCTCCGTGAAGATACTGCAAGGCTTTGGCAACGTCGAGAGCTATCTCAAGCCTCTTTCTCAAGGAGGGTATACCCACTAAACCATCATGAAGATCGCATCTCATTCGCTCCGAGACAAGTTGCACAGAAAGGCCACAATTCGGGTTGGACTCCACTACGGTGCATATAACGGGTAGAATGTTCGGATGGTGGAGGGCTCTTAAACGGAGAAGTTAATTTCAGTAAATAGTTGGAATAAAAAAAGACCAGGGCTTGAATAGCTTTCAAGAATTTCCTTAACCCTCCGAGTGTTCAGATAAACCCCTGTGAACACGGAAAAAAGAAATCCTATATTTGCCCTTAAGAAATAATTTCTCAAAATACGGACGAATCTGTATCGATAACTCCAAACGAATCCATCGACCAATAATACCGCGCGTTGTTTCGCATCTATGTCAAAACGTTACTTTATCTTACCATTTTGATATTGCACATTACCTGGTATTATGAAGTTCCAGGGTCAAGTCCTTGAGCACCTCCTCTGAAGCGACACCTACCACCTTAACAACACATGGCCTCCCTTCTGGAGTTTTAATGTTGTCACAGGCGAAGACATTGCCCTGTGCCCCAGTCCCAATGAGCTCTCCCTTGGCTGGAAGTCCAAACTTGAACCTGTCCATGACACCATATGCCAGCATCTCAAGAAGTGCAAGATTGGGAGCAAAGCCAAGAAGAGTTTCCCTTTGCATGTCCTTGATGGTCTCTCCGCGATCGAACAGGTCTTGCACTTTTCTTATTTCACCGGTGAACTCTTCATGGCAGTCACGAAAAAGCTCCTTCAAACTTGTGACGATTTTCTGAGCCATGTCAGATGGATTTACTTTCGCAAGGGCATTTGAAGCAACATCTGTCTTCCATTTCTTCGAGCCAACTTGAACCTCTCCACTGATGGTCTTGATAATTGTTTTGATCGGATTACGAATTGCATTGTAGAACCACTCGCTTAATTGCTTTATGAAACGTAAAGCTGCTCCGTTGCGTTGTGGAAACGTGATTTGAGCTTCGTAAGAAGAAAGAAGGCTTTTGCCAAGAGCGAGTGCTGCCGATGGAATGTCGTTGTCTCTGGCAATTTCTCCTTGAATTTGCTCCATGCCGTCTTTGAGGTGAACAAGGAACAGATCTCTGGAGCGGAACATCATCGTTAACTTTTGCTTGATCTCTCCTTGGAGTTTTTTGACCACCATCCCCTGAATCTGGTCCTGACAGTAAGCCACAGCTTGTTTCTCTTTTACATGGCCATCTGACGGAATGGTAAATTCGGTCAAAACGTACTCAAAATCTCCTGCCCCCTTTAGGATGTCTTCTCTAGCTCCATTTATGGCATCACTGAGGAGTTCTTGTATCTCCATGGCCCGCTTTTCGTCCTCAAGGTCGCGGATTATGTTCTCGTGAACTTGCTGTTCCTCGCGCAAAAGTGTTTCCAACGTCTTCAATATTTGCTTCTTTCCCCTTTTCAAAACATTAGCTTTCTGAATGAAGAAATCCAAGCATCTGGATAGAACACGCACGAGGGTTCTGCACACACACGCTACCCTTGCACGTAGAGATTCTTCAGCGAACTCTTTCAGGCTGTTTTGAAATCTCTCAAAGGCTTGAGTGTAATCTGTAAACTCTTCGGAAGAAGCTTCGGGATTTCTCTTCTTCAAAGCGTGGTACTGCTGGATGCGCCAAGCTGACAGCCCATGGAATCGCTCGTTTTGATTCATGGACAGTTGAGAAGGAAAATGGCCGTTTTTGACAAGCCGCTCGTACACCCGTGTCTTCTTTCTGTTCTGTACTTCGAGCTCTCGCTTTTTCCGCGCCTTCACTGGTGCTGCATGACCTCTTGGTTCATCGTCCTCATCTGATGATTCGGTACGATCTTCCGGTTCCAGTTTGCTGACAACGAAAAATATTGATAAATCGGTCCCTGAGGATGTCATTTCATTTAGGACCTCTCTATCCTGGCAAGGAAACAAATAACAATTGGTAATAATTGATGATAAGACTGTGTAAAGAAAAATCATTATTAACTATAAGATCTCTTTCACGCATAGAAATGGAGAGCGAATAACCTACTTGTTTTATTAAAAATCTGCTAATTATTCAAAACTTAATAACAAAACAGGTACAACCCCACAATATTATTAGTAAGACACTCACTTTACTCATGATGTAAGGGGAATAGCGTAGCCAATCAGATAGCAGCAATTGGATTTGGCAACCCGAGGCAATCACTGTCCTCCATGCCCGCAGGGTGGAGAATTTGAACCCTTCTTGGGTGGGGTGGGAAATTTGAATCAGCGGAATATACGCGTTTTTATTTTCAATATGGAGGAGTTTAAAGGTAAAGTGTTCACCTTTGCGAACAAATGGCCTGGAAGTAAGATTTCACATTGTAGAATGATGCTTACAAGCGAAAAACTTAACAGTGGAGAATCTTTGGGAGGGAAAGGGTTATGTACTTCTGTTGGCAAAGAAATAAATTGATTTTAGAAACTTTTTATCGTGAGTAGAATAATCATTTCGTAATAAATGCAACAGCAGGCAAACCAGAGTAAAAGCTATGCTGATGTTGTAGTAGTTACGTCGTTGTCGTTTCACGATCACGACTGTTTAATTTCGATGAGAGCAAACTTTTGCTTTAATCAGCTTCATATTTAAAAACTACTCTGATCGAATTACTGATTCATGACTCAATACTTCAAAGACACAGTCCAAGTGAATCACAAAACATGGCACTTGTATAGTTTCGATCTTGATACAACCCGGAAATACAAATTGTAACCAATCGAGGAATCGATCGTGTTGAAAACAAAAAACCTTACCTGCTTTGTGAAAAGATCATGTCCATCCACCACGTATATAACAAACGCCAGAGGATTTTTCAGCTGCTCCTTTACCAAGTTGTCCAGCGCTTTATTTTCATTTCTTCCAGGGGAGTCAATTATGGTTACACCACATTTCAAGAACTCGATATTTAAACCGGTCTCCACGATCGCCCCCACTTTACTGGGGTCATCACGATCCTTAGGTTTGAGTTCGATCTTCTTTCGAGGGATTCTGTTTCCCTCCTTACCCATCATCTTTATCTCTTCTAAGGTTTTACCATGTGTGTCAACCAGGCGACAGTAAGGCTCCTCGGCGTGGCAAACGCGAACAATTCTCGCGGTGCTCGGTTGGTCTGATGTAGGAAGCGCTTTACAACCTAGGAGCTCGTTGATTATGGAGCTTTTCCCGCAGTTGGTTTGCCCGACAAAAATGAGTGCCGGCTCCTGATCAAACAAATCGGTAACTTCCTTCTTCTCCTTAGCCGTGTAAAGCAGCTCAGCAAGGGCGTAATCGAACTCTAGATGAACATCCGCCATTGCCACTGTTTGAGCCATTACTCGAACTTCGTCTGGAGAAGCTTGCACGGGTGAGGTTGAGTAGCGAAGTTCTTCTACAATTTCTGCAGTACCTTTATCGGAAAGCTTTCGAACGATTTCATCGAAGTATTTAACCGTGTCATGGTGAACTTTTTTCAGCACAGCCTTGCTTTTCTTGAAATCCTCGAACACGTCTTGAAGCGCCATGGCTGGAAGACTCCACGAGATTGAACTGCATTGTATCAGATGTCTAAGTTTATTGTTTGTTCAATTCCTTTCGTGGAAAAAGAGGAAGTCAATAGTCATCGATCACCTTGGATGAAATTTTAAAAATCTGGTACGGACTCGTGTATGATAGAAGACTGGACTGAGTACGCAGTCCGCAGTGTCTTGCTATACCAATCCTCATCGTTACGTCATGTTATAACTAATGTGATATGATTTAAAAAACTCTTAATTTTCCCTAAGAAGATTTCCTTTTAAGTTCGAATGCTACTCGTTCGATCTTACTAAAGGTCTCCAGGTTGATAAACAGCGCAAACGATTCAAAACGAAAATGACAGACCTGTCAAAATAATCTGAGGAATTCTTGGCTATACAAAATTTATAGTCAACGGTCTATTACAGTTACAGTTAGCTTGAAGGCTCTTGCTCTTTTCATCTTGTCTTGGGCGGCTGCGAGGGCAGACGGTATTGGTTAAATTAAAAGAAAAGTGAGATAAATTCTGCTAATGAATCCCTGCTCTGACTGGTAAAATCGATGTAAAAGAAAAACAAAAAACGAAAACAGAAACAAAAAAAACAACAACAACAAACCAAGTTGCTAATGATAGCAAAGTTGTGTACATGTCTGAATTGATCAAAGAAAAATTATAATGAAGCGGAAGCTCAATGAAAAAAGAAATCCGTACCAGAAAATTCCGAGTCCACTCCAATCTTCGATTGCATGTTTAGATGTCACGCGACAAGTCATCATTGTCTAGTTTTTCCGAGAATCTGAATGAACCAGGAATCAAAGTGAATTCTAGAAATAAGCGTGGTTTGTTGTGCTTGTCTGTACAGGATCAAGTCCCTTTGCAAACCTTAATACTGAATGAGATCCAACCTGACCGTCATTGTGAACAAATGGCTTCCCGCGAGGGTGAGAAAATTGAAAATGTTGATTGAAGTAGTTCATGTTTACAGCATTACGAAAGTCTGCAGTCTGGCCTTTCTATTGACACGCACAAGGAAATACTTGCAACTGGTTGCGGAACGAGAGCCCAAACTAAGTAATACTTACGCTTTGTAGGGAGTTAAACGAAGCCAAGCTTCATTAAGATTGAGAGTGCAACCGACATTTTAGTAAGAGAGGGAAATAGAACCTTCGATACGAACTATAAACTGTCACTGATCATGCAGACGAAAACCAAAAGTCACCAGTCTTTCCTCATTTCGTTTATGTATTATAAAAAGTTATGTTTCCTTTACGAGAATCGTTCCCATAATTAAGGCATTACATTCTTTGCCATAGTTGTCGATCGGCTCTAATCATCGTCACAACGCGATTTCACATAGAAATTTGTTTCTGCCTTGCTGCAAACTCACAGTAACATTAGTTTCAGTTTGTAGGAACATTCTAAAATCTGTTACTAGAGATTCCTGAACATCTAATTTTCTTTTCATTTCAAGCTCAGTGTGAAGTCTGTATTAAATGTAAAACTGTTTGAATCAATGACACCCAATTTTGATCCACAAAACTAGACAGCAAACAATGTTTGGGACAAAAACAGCCTTTCCATTTAATTAATATTTTCACAAATACGAAACTCTTGCATGATGATATCCATAAGATATGATAAAATAATACTCAGATATGCTATTTAACAAAAAGGCTGGCTGATAGAAACACTGGACAGATACAAAGACCA